CCCCTCCCCCAGCCCCTGCCGACTTCCTGTCTCTGTGAATCTAGGGACCACACGAAGTAGAACCCTACAGCATTTGTGTTTTTATGACTGGCTTATTTCACCCAGCGTGGTGTCCTCAAGATTCATCCATGTTGTGCCATGGATCAGAATGTCCCCGCTTATACCTCCTCCCCAAAGGGTGCCCCATCAGGACCTCAAGCATCGTTGACTGGTTGGCCTGTTTTTGTGTTTCGTATAACGGAATCTTACATCCATGTTCCTTTGTGTCCGGCTTCCTTCGCTCGACACGCACTCTGTAAGGTTTCATGTGACAAGTGGCGGTCATTCATTGCATGCTGTGCCATTTATTTATCCTCTCTCTTGTTGTCGAGGGGGATTCAGATTATTTCCAGTTTGGGGCTATTGTGAAGATCGCCACTGTGAACAACCTTGTGTGTGCCTTTGGCTTACGCAGGTTCACGTTTCTGTTGGGTAACTATCCAGGACTCAGGAGGGGAATCTCCGGGTGGTCGTGCGGGGACGTGAGTAATTTCAGCGGCAGCTCCCAACCCATCTTCCAAAGTGGTTGGACCATGTGCTGTGGATTGAACCGTGTCCTCCCTCCTCCAGTTCATACATAGAAGTCCCAACCCCCAGCACCTGAGAATGTGACCTTAATTGGAAGTGGGGTCATTGTGGGAAGATGAGGTCATCAGGGGGGACCCCAATCCAGTATGACTGCTGGGGGAGGAGGTGGGGGAGGAATTTGGCCGCAGAGACAGACATGCACACGAGGAGGACGTCACGCGGAGGTGAGGGTGGGGACCACAACAATGCCTCTGCAAGCCAAGGAACCACTAAAGGCTGTTTTCAGTGAATCCCCAGACTCCAGGAGAGAGGCATGGGGCAGGTTCTCTCTGGAAGCCTCCAGAAGGAACCAGCCTGGTCGACACCCTGATCTTGAACGTCTGACCTCCAAGCACCGTGAGACAATAAATTTCCGTTGTTTTAGGCCACACAGTTGTGGTTCTTCGTTACCCAGACACAGGACCCTCATCCACCATGTCACCCTCCCATGAGCAGCGTGTGACGATTACAGATCCTCTAGGCTTTCCAGCACCTGGCCGTATGTGTCCTTCTCATTCGGGCCTTTCTGCTTGGTGGCAACAGCATTAGACGTGCTTTTAAAGGTGAGCTTTTAAAGCCACTCTTGGGGGCCCCACATTGTGCAGATGGCCCAGAGCTGATGAGCCACCCGAAAGCTCCTCTGCTCCGGCGGCTGATGCCAAGGCTTCTCCAGCACAGAGGTTAAGTCCATGGGCTCTGGGATCCAATCCCATGCTCGTCACCAGCTAGCTCCGTGACCTTGGGCTGGAACTTTTGTCTTTCTGGGCCTCAGTTTCCCCAGCCATAAAATGGGCATGATGATAAAATAGGGTATGCTGACTGACTAAGCTAATGGCTGATGTACTTAGAAGAGTGTCTGGCACGAGTAAGTACTCCATAAGCACTGCTTTTTTATATTTCTCTCTTTCTTTCTCTCTCTCTTCTGGATTTTCATCCCTTCCTTTTACTTCCTTCTTGGCACACTGTTCTGTTCTCCCAGAGAAGAATGTTCTACTTGTGCACTTCTCCCCACCTTGAAAACTGAGCTGGGCGCTTCCAGGAATATTTTTGAGATTGACATTGAGGCTGCAGGGCACAGAGGAGGGAGACATTTGAGGAAAAGGCTCACAGCCCTGTTGGTTGTCTTGGTGATTTAACCCGGGAGTCAGACTCTGCCTTCATGCACCCTCCTGGAAGGGAAAAGTGTGACTGTGTCAGAGAGGAGGAGGGAACCAGGGGTTCGTTTGTACATTTTGGTTGGGCTTTTTTTTTTTTTCTCTCTCCTCATGGATTTTGGTCTGGGAAGTTCTGAGTTTCATGCTGGTTCCTGAGTCCTGTGAGGGCTACATGATTAGGAGGGGGCTTTGTGCTTCTAATGATACCTCTCAGGTTTCCCCCACTAATTGATCCTGTGTTCTATTTCCTTGTCTGGGCTGCCAGAGCTCCAGGACTCCACAGGCCACGGACATCTGAGGGCAGAGGTCCCCCTTCTCCCACCTGTCAGGTCATACCTGAGTCCCACTGAACACTCACCCGCTTTCCCTCTCACCTCCCACAGAGCAACGATGCCTCAGGGAACACTTGGAACTGGTTGTACTTCATCCCCCTCATCATCATTGGCTCCTTTTTTATGCTGAACCTCGTGCTGGGTGTGCTGTCAGGGTAAGTGTCTGGTAATCTCCCCATCCCACTCCCCCTCACCATCTTCTGACCATAAAGAGGCCATCGAACCTTTGTTTTCATACTCCAGGCAGAGGCAGAGAGTAGGCTTCTTCCCTTGTCTTGGGTTAGCCAGAAAGTTATTAGCAAGTCAGGTACAGATGCACAGGCTGTGCACTGCTGACAGCATCCAGCAAAAGGACTCAAGGGGGCTGAAATCCGGTGCAACTCTGACTCACAACCCTGCACCCCTGGCATTGAGCAACCTCCACCCAGGAAAACGGAGCTTCTTTCCGATGCAGACCTCTCATTCAGAAGTCTTTCCCAGCACACAGCCCATCACACAAGAAAATTCTATAGAGCGTTACTGTCTATAATTAACATTAAAAAAAAAACCAGTAGATTGGGTTCTCCCCTTCCTGTTTTCCAAATGCAAAATCTCAACATACAGTCAAGCATGCATTTCCATGACGCATATTGTCCCGTACCCCCAAGATCGGGTATTGGATGTTTTGTGGGGTTTTTTGGCTTACTCATAAATAGATTTTCTTTTTCTCATCACAAGAAGTCTGGGGAGCGGCCTAGTGGCTCCACGGTGCCATCAGGGACCCCAGTTCCTTCTGGTTTTCTGCTCTGACGTCCTTACCAGGCAGAGGCTTTCAGTCTCGTGGATGCCTCATGGTCTGAAAGTGGCTGCCTCACACTCACAAGAGAGCCACCGCATGTTCCAAACACGAAGAGGAGGGAGGGGAAGGGGAAGGGGGGGCGGGGAGGGCACATATGAGGGAAGGGAGGCTGTGGCAGGAAATCAGCTTATGTCTCCTTGGCCTGACCTAAAAGAGGGCTTCTTCACCCGGGAGTGCAGAGAATGAGAAGGGGGTGTGCAGCCTTCGGTTTGACTTGTTTCTTCTAGCTGGGGTGCAGCTGTTGGATAATGTGGGAAGCTGGCAGAAACACCCCCATCCCTGTGGTGCTCTCCCAGAAGACCTGATTCCTCGTGTTAAAGTCCACTGCCCTCCTGGGGTTTTCGAACCCCTAAATACGCGCGCGCGCGCACACACACACACGCACACACACGCACCGTCCCTAAAACGTTTACAACGGCCACGCCCGGCTCTTTCCTGCTTCTGCAGGGAGTTTGCCAAAGAAAGGGAGCGGGTGGAGAACCGGCGGGCCTTTCTGAAACTGAGGAGGCAGCAGCAGATCGAACGGGAGCTCAACGGGTACATGGAGTGGATCTCGAAAGCAGGTGAGGCCCATTCACCCTGGGGCCTGGGAACCATAATCCCCAGGCCCCGGAGCGCGCACGGAGGCATGCACGCGGCTTGAAGGTGGGTGAGGGGAGGGCCTGGGCGGGGGAGCAAAGAGGGCCCCTTGGGGCGCCTGGGTGGCGCAGTCGGTTAAGCGTCCGACTTCAGCCAGGTCACGATCTCGCGGTCCGTGAGTTCGAGCCCCGCGTCGGGCTCTGGGCTGATGGCTCGGAGCCTGGAGCCTGTTTCCGATTCTGTGTCTCCCTCTCTCTCTGCCCCTCCCCCGTTCATGCTCAGTCTCTCTCTGTCCCAAAAATAAATAAAAAAACGTTGAAAAAAAAAAGAAAAAAAAAAAAAAAGAGGGCCCCTGACCAAGGAGCCCCACTTCCCAGAGGCCGGAATCTGGGCTACGGCAGCGGGACTTCCGGGGTGAAGCCAGGATAGGACATGGCCTCCTCTGTTCCCGTCAACTTTAGTTTACGTCCCAGCCCTGCCGCCTCCTAGCAGCGTACCTCCCTTCCCGGTGCCTCGGTTTCTTGGGTGGTTCAATGGAGATGCGCTCACGCCTACCTTCCAGGGCTGTGGAGTGTGCAGTGAGGTAGTCCACGCAGCAGGCACGTGTTTATCGGCTCAGCCATTCCCGATGCTTATGGAGCACCCACTCTGTGTCAGGCGCCACTCTAGGCTCTGAGGATGTGACAGAACAAGAGATGGGGCTCCAACGTTCTAGTGAGGGAGACAGAAAAGAAACAAGTACGGACAACGCGGGGTGCTCCCCAGGGCCGAGGAGAAAAATAACGCAGCTTAGGAAGTAGAAAAGAGTCGGAGGAGGTGGGCTGGTCAGAGAGGATCTCTCTGAGGAGGTGATGTCCGAGCAGACCCGAAGGAAGCCGTGTGGATGTCTAGCGAAGGGTGTTCCAGGCGGAGGGGATGGCAGGTGCAAAGGTCCTGGGGTAAGGGCAGCGTTGAGTCATGGCAAAGAAGCCGGTGTGGCTGGAGCAGGGACACGCAGGGCAGATGGGGAGGAAAGGAGGGCAGAAGGCCTTATGAGGAAGCTGGGTCTCATGTTGAGGGACGTGGAGGCGGTGCTCGCTGGCTGGTTGAGCTGCCGCGATCAGCAAGAGGAGAGCGAAGGTGGCCGGGCAGACCCTTGCCCTTCCTGGTCCGAGGGAACGCGTCCCAGGAGAGCCCCGTAGACGCTGGAGCTTAACTCTGTGCTCTTCCTCCTCAGAAGAGGTGATCCTCGCCGAGGATGAAACCGACGGGGAGCAGAGGCATCCCTTTGATGGTAACTGCTCTGAACCTGGCTCAGGGGGTGGGGGGGTGGCTCCTGGGGGGAGACCAGAGCAGCCAGTGCTGGGGGAACAGGCTGTTTGGTTGTCAGGGGCCTCCAGGGGATGGACGTTCAGAGCCCAGGTGACACCAAGCACAAACACAAGACCAGGTCAGGACCAGGAGGATACAGGGAATGGCAGGAATCTGCGGCTTTCGGGAATTTCTGGACGTCGGCGCAGGTTTTTCGTGTTCTGGCCTGCCCTTTCTGCTTTAACCCCGTGCCTCAGTTTTCCGCATCCGTGAAATGGGCATTATGATAATACCTACCTCATCGGATAGTTTATGAAGATTACATTAATGCTTGCAAGTACAACGCCTACTTGACTCAAGGTCATGACTCACCATCTGTGTTTGCCGAATAAATAAATAGCCAAGAATCCGGCTTACTGTTCAGGACTGTGGTCTCACGGTTGGAAATTTCGGTGAGACAGAGCAAGGGCTTTGGATCGAAGATACCAGGCGAGAGCAGGAAGTAAAGGAGCTAGGGTTTATCTCGGAGGGTTACAAAATGGATTTTACTCTTTGCGGGGGAGGGGAAGAGGTGACCCACGGGGGTGTCTAAATCATTTTGTTGGAAGCGTGTGCCTGAACTCACTGTCCCCTGGAGAGCCCGTGGGGGAGGAGCAGAACCTAAATACTGAGCAAAGGGATCCGCAGTCCCGGCCGGCCTGGCGAGCGTACTAAAGGTCAAGGGTGGGCTGCCTTCATTAGGGGTCACTGTATATCCGGTCCCAGGCATCCCCCAGGGGCAGTGACAACGGAGAGCCCAGACCTCAGTCTCTAAAGTCAGACTGAACAGGACGTGGTTCTCGTCTTGACCCCTTGGGCAAAGTCATGTAACCCCTCCCCCCCGAGCCTCGGTCTCCCTGTCTGCAAAATGGGCATATTCTTCCCTCCCACCAAACCGGGTTGCCGTGAGGGTTAAACCCAACACCCCGCAGAGCATCCCTGACAGAACAACACCTGGGGCCGAGGACGCAGGGGCGCCGAGGTGTGGTTCCAGTGTCCAAAAGGGTAACGTCTTTTTCTCTTGCCATGTTTCCATTGTTGGAGCTCTGCGGAGAGCCACCATAAAGAAAAGCAAGACCGACCTGCTCAACCCCGAGGAGGCCGAGGACCAGCTGGCCGACATCGCCTCCGTGGGTGAGTCTGTCCAGCGGCATCCTGGCGCTCGGTTGTCACCGATGGCGCCAGAGATGCGCGCTGAAGGCCTGGGACCCTCCAGGCCTGCCCTTGGATCCCTCCTCTGCCCCTTGCCACCTTTGTCTCCTGGAGGAGGTGACGCGATTATGGGAATAACAGCGGCGCCTCTCTCCTGATACCTACCGTTCGTGGAGCTTAAACTAAATAATCCACAGTAAACATTCAGAAGGGCGCCCGGCACAGCATAAGCTCCCAGTAATGATATTACGATTCGTCAGCACTCACGGAGGGGCTGCTCTTACGAAGGGCCGGCTGTGAATAGGATGGGAAACCAAATCCCGACCCGCGTGGGCCTTGCGGTCCAGGGCAGGACGCAGAGGTTAAACAGGTAGTTCCCGAAATAAGCCTGTCGTGATCGTAGCGCTGCTGAGGAGACGCCCCGGGTTTGGCGTGCTCTGGAAGAATGGGGGGTGGTCAGGGAAGGCTTCTCGGAGGAGGCGACATTGAAGCTGAGGACTGCAGGATGAGTATAGGAGTTGGCCGTGGCCGTGAAAGCAGAGAGAGCCAGGCGGAAGGCTGTGCTCGGTCTGTTGCTGTTGGTTCTTGCCAAGGGCAGAGCCTGGGGAGGAGGGGACATTTGCTCTTTCCCTGCGCGCCCCTGCTGATTGAGACTGTGTTGCTTCCGACCTTCTCCGGAGAGACTAGATTATATTTTGAACAAAAAATTTTTTTCTTTGAGAGAGAGAGAGAGAGAGAGAGACAGAGCAAGCGGGAGAGGGGGGCAGAGAGAGAGAGGGAGAGAGAGAGAATCCCAAGCAGGCCCCATGCTGTCGGCACAGAGCCCGATGTGGGACTCAAACTCACGAACCTGAGCCCAAACCAACCTGAGTCAGGCGCTCAACCGACTGAGGCACCCGGGCGCCCTGAAGTGGGTTTTTAAACATTCCAGTAATGAAAGTGGGAGAGCATCCAGGCAGGGGAAGTAACACATGACCTTGCGGGGAGAAAGCCTTTAAAGGGAGGGAGGGGAGGAAGGAAGGGGAGAAGGGAATTTAATATATACACGTGGTTCTGATCCACGGGCACCAACTATTCCATACGCTGCTGTTTTCGCTCCCCCCTGGTGTTTGACCTTGTGCGCTGGGTTTTGACATCATTTCCACTGCAGTCCCATCCTCCCGGAGGGTGGCGCCCCCGTACTTGTTTGCTTAGCCGTGGCTCTGTCCTATGGTGTTGGAGTTTCCAGTGTTTTGCCCCTCCAGAGGAGCACCACCGCGAGCATTTATGTTCAATTACTGCCCCCACCCTTTGGGCGTGTTTCCTTGGGGATAATTACAGGATCAAAGATATCAACAGCTTTTCAACGCATTATTCACAGAGCCCTTCTGGGTTTCAGAAACACCGACCCCATGTATAAACCTGCCAAGCACTCATACGTTCAACGGATTCCCCCCTCCCCAGCCACTGCGTATTGCCCATTTAATTCCCTTTCCCAGCTAAGTAGGTCTGTAATGATACCTTCAAGCTCGTTTCAATTTGCATTTTTAAGTTCTAGCCACAACCCTCTTTTGCCTTGTAATGCTGAGCTAGACCTGTTTCGACTTGTGGGTGCATCTGTGTCCCTCCTCCCGCAGCAAGTTCAGGAACGGGAGCACTCCCACCAGTGCTCTGTGTGTTTGATCCGTCAGTCTGGCTCACACACCAAAAGATTGGCATACTCAAGTTAGGATCGCCTCTGTGGATAAGATTGGGTACCTGCTCCCCACTGATGGAGAGGTTATTTTTCATCAGTCATCCTAGAAAAGATGGAAAAGTGATACTACCCAATGTTGGCAAGGATGTGGGGAAATGGGCATTGTCGTGTGCTGAGCGTAGGAGTTTGGTTTGCACGGTTTCCACCGTGTGGTTGGGTATTATTTAACTGTAGATGTTTCTATTCTTTGACCCGGCATTTCTGCTGCAAAAATAGTTCTTCCACGCGTGCAAAAGATCGATGCCTCTTCTCAACAGCGTTGTCTCTGGTGTTCAAAAAAGCGAGAACCGAAAGAGCCCGGCTGGCTCTGTCGGTAGAGCGTGCAACTCTTGATCTTGGGGTGGTGAGTTGGAGCCCCGTGTTGGGTAGAGAGATGACTTAAAATCTTTTAAGCGAAAACACACACAAGAAAATAAAGTGAAAACCAGAGACAACCCACATGCCCAGAAATGGGGAGATGACTGAAGAAATTGCAGTATTTACATACGATGGACTGTTACGCAGCCAGGAAAAAGAACATGGCTGCTGCTCGCATGGAAAGATGTTTGAAAGCGATTTCTCAGTGAAAAAAGCAAACAGCACAGCATTATATAAAATGTATGATCCCATTGCAAGAACAATATTAAGTATGAGAGGTACTTAAAAGTGTGAGGGATTTTCTTTCACTTTCTACACGGAGTGACGGGCGTTTCTTTTGAAATCAGAAAAGTAATTAACTACGGTTAAAGTTACTTAAAAGCAACACAGACTGGGGGCGCCTGGGTGGCTCAATCAGTTGCGTGTCTGACTCTCGATCTCGGCTCAGGTCACGATCTCAGGGTCGCGAGACTGAGCCCCGAGTTGGTCTCTGTGCTGACAGTGTGGAGCCTGCTTGGGATTCTCTCTCTGTCTCTGTCTCTGTCTCTCTCTCCCTCTGCCCCTCGCCACCCTGTGCTCTCGCTGTCTTTTAAAAAATTAATTAAGTACGTAAGCAAGTAGGTAAAAAATATTTTAAAAAAAAGCAATGAGAGACTGATCATGAGGACTCTGATAGCTGTACAGGCTGGGAAGAATTTGATGGAAAGCAGAGAAAGCTTCACGGAGGAGGCGTTTGTTGTTTTGTTTTTTGGTTTTGGTTTTTGAAAAAAATGTTTTTAATGTTCATTTAATTTTTGAAAGAGAGAGAGAGAGAGAGACAGAGCGTGAGCACGGGGGAGGCAGGGAGAGAAGGAGACCCAGAATCCAAAGCAGACTCCAGGCCCCGAGCCGCCAGCACAGAGCCCGACGCGGGGCTCGAACCCACGAGCCGTGAGATCGTGACCTGAGCTGAAGTCCACCGCGTGAGCGACTGAGCCACCCAGGCGCCCCAGGAGGGGTTTGTTTCTAAGCTGGGCTTTCTGTGGAACGGGGAGAGAGCATCCATTTGCGACGGCTGCCGTAATAAAATAGCATAGGCTTGGGGGGCTTAACAGCAGAAATCTAGTTTCTCACAGTTCTGGAGACTGGAGTTCCTAGCTCAAGGCGTCCATCAGGGTTGGCTGCTTCTGAGGCCTCCCTCCAAGGCTGTAGACCAGGCTGATAGACCCCTCCCTGTGTCTTCACACGGTCTTTCCTGATCTCTTCTTACAAGGACCCCAGTCAGTATCGGATTAGGGCCCACCTACAGGACCTGAGTTTGCATTATAATTCGCTCGTTAAAGAACCTAGCTCCTGGGGCGCCTGGGTGGCGCAGTCGGTTAAGCGGCCGACTTCAGCCAGGTCACGATCTCGCGGTCCGGGAGTTCGAGCCCCGCGTCGGGCTCTGGGCTGATGGCTCAGAGCCTGGAGCCTGTTTCCGATTCTGTGTCTCCCTCTCTCTCTGCCCCTCCCCCGTTCATGCTCTGTCTCTCTCTGTCCCAAAAATAAAATAAATAAACGTTGAAAAAAAAAATTTTTTAAAATAAAAAAATAAAAAAAAAAAATAAAGAACCTAGCTCCAAATAGGCTCACATTCCGAGGTACTAGGGGATAAGACTCCGGCATATGAATCTGGGGGATCCAGGTGAGTACATAACAGGGGGGCCAGCCAAGAAGCCATGAGAGAGACTCACAGATGGTTTGCCCGTGGGAGACCCTGCTCGTGAATTGGTGGCCGACGTAAGAGACCTTGCTCCTTGGAGAATGCAGTTCCAGGCTGGTGTGGGATAAGCACGTGATAAGGGGAACGACGGGAAACCAGAGTAGGAAGCGGTCGGACTAAGAGCCATGGCTGTCCCGTGCCCTTTCTGTTAACAGAGCAGGCGACGTTCAGCTCTCCAGACGGGTCCCAGACGTAGGCCAGGGGCTCGGTGTCCCCGGACCAGGTTTGCCCCGGGCAAACCCACCAAACTCCAGCCCCTTTGCCTGATGGCTCAGAAACGCACAGGAAGGGGCCCCCGCTCCAGCCAGTACCCCAAAGGACACCTCTGGAATTCCCGTTCTGACCAGGAAATGACTTGACTTGCGTTCCGTAAGTGAGACCAGCTGAGCGTTTCGGAATGAGGCCGGAGCCGTGCGTCTGCCGTCGAACCCTGGACCGCAGCGAGCACAGCCTTGCGCAGTTGGTGTTTCTCCCGCGCGGTCCAGTCAGCCGATGAGCGCCTCACAAAGCCGTCTCGTCTGCAGCTGACGAACATACTGCTGAATTCTGGAATTTGAGTCATCTATAGGAAAAGCTGAGCCGTGAATGGAAGCTGCCATCACAACCAGCTCTTCAGGAAAATCAGATTCCTTTTAGATGACTTTTGATCGGAAGCTCTGTGCGGGCTATATCCGTCGGCCAGGGCCGCGTAACATAGTGTCAAAACTGGGCAGCTCGAAGCAATCCTTGGCAATCCCCGGCGTCTGTGTGCATCACCAGACTCCGGCCTCTGTTGCCACACGCTTTTCTCCTTGTGCACCTGTGTGGCTCTTCTCCTCTTATAAGGACACCAGTCACCGGATTTAGGACCCACCCTGATCGAGTTGGGCCACATCTTCACTTGATGACATCCACGGAGACCCTTAACTTCCAAGTAAGGTCATGTTCACAGATCCCAGGGGTTAGGACTGGAACACGTCTCTCTGAGGGGCACAATTCAACCCGCAGCTTGGGCAGGACCTGTTTCAACTTATGGACGATTTCAGGGGCATGTAAAGTGCCCCAAGTCCCCATCTTAAGCCTTGGTGGTGACAGGCTTCTGTCCTCATGGCAGGACATTCCAGACCGCTACTGGTCACCTGTGGCTCTTGATCCCTTGGGCAGAGCCAGTGTGAGCAAAGAGGTGCTTCATTCTTCTAACACATCAGATTTAGAAGTCTTAGCCCAAGAAAAAGAGTGTGAAACGTCTCTTTAACGTATTTCTATACTGATGCCGTGTTGAAATGATAATGTTTTGGATCTGTTGGGTTCCATAAAATCTCTTATTAAATTTTTTTTAATGTTTATTTATTTTATTTATTTTTTTTTTTTAATTTTTTTTTTCAACGTTTATTTATTTTGGGGACAGAGAGAGATAGAGCATGAACGGGGGAGGGGCAGAGAGAGAGGGAGACACAGAATCGGAAACAGGCTCCAGGCTCTGAGCCATCAGCCCAGAGCCTGACGCGGGGCTCGAACTCACGGACCGCGAGATCGTGACCTGGCTGACGTCAGACGCTTAACCGACTGCGCCACCCAGGCGCCCCTAATGTTTATTTATTTTAGAGAGAGAGAGAGACAGAGCACAAGCGGGGTGGGGGAGGCAGAGAGAGAGGGAGACACAGAATCCCAAGCAGACTTCAGGCTCTGAGCCATCAGCACAGAGCCCCACGGAGGGCTCGAACCCATGAACCGTGGGATCGTGACCTGAGCTGAAGTCGGACGCTTAACCGACGGAGCCATCCAGGCGCCCTGTCTTATGAAAATATTTGTAAAATCTAAGAATTGCCTGCAGTTGCCATTCCAGACCACAGAGAAAAGCTAGAGACAAGAATGTATAGAGAAGGGGAGAGTGGGTCCAAGTGAGTGTGAGATACAATCCAGGTGATACACAGCTAGCAGGGACCTAGCACGTAGTAGGTGTTCAGTTAACATGCACTTCCCTTTTGCTTCCCAGTGGGTGCTGTGCTTGTGGGATATGTCTCCGGGCCAGTGATCAGGAAAGACTTGCTCGATAAATTGGCACATGAACTCGGTCTTCACTGGAGCACTGGGGGTTCTAGTAGAAGATTATGATGGCCATGGTTGGCCAGCACGGGGCTAAGGCGTATTCTCCCAGCGGCCCTGTGAGTGGGCAGTGTGGTTGTCCCGGTTTACAAACGGAGGCACTGAGGCCCCAAGATGCGAGGTGTCTTGGCCAAGGTCACCTGCTGGTTGGCAATGGAACGGGTTTTCGGTGGGGCTCCAGCAGGAGTGGGGGGTGGGGAGCCTCCCGCCCACTGTGACTGAGCTCTCCCTCCTCCTCCCCACGGAGCATCCCAACCTGACCTGAGACCTTCAAAAGTCTCAACTCTTTGTCATGCCCTATGGACGCCTGCGGATCCCACGTCTTTGGGAGCTGCCAGACATGCCCCAACTGAGAAGGGGCCGTGAGGAGCCCCGCTGGGGTTCTCAACGGCTGTGAGGTCAGGCAGGCGACGGACATGAGGGAGAGAGGGTCCCGCCACCAGGGCTGGCCAGCTGCCGCCGAGGGGGCATGTGTGTTTAAAATTTTGTGCGTGGGAAGGGAGTGGTGCCCTGGGAGACGTTTGCCGCGTCCCATGCTGGTCGGATGCTGCTGATGCACCTGCTGGGTGGACGAATGAGTGAATGGACAAATCAACCAATGAGCGCATGAATCGATGAACAAGCTGGTGAACAGGGGAAAGAATGAATGAGCCAAAGAACAGTCAGCCAACAAACGAATGCCCTGGAAGGGGCTCAAGAAGAGATCATTTAGAAGATAGGAGCTGCGAACCTTCCCCTAAACCTGTCCGCTCTCAGTGCGTGGCATCTCGGTCCCTCCAGGGGCTCAGGCCAAAGACCTTGGCTCCTCTGTCTCTCTCACACCCACACTCGGCCAGCAGCAGGCGTTGAAATCTCCCTGAAGTAACACATCCCCAGTCTGCCCACTCTTCTGCCTTCCCAGCCACCGTGGAGTCCAGCCGTCATTATTGCTGGCCTGGACCAATGCAGTCACCTCCCTCTTCTTGCCCTGGCCTTCCAGACTGTTCCCCCCCCCCGCCCTGCAGCAGCTAGAGGGCGCTTGTGAGCAGCTGAGTCAGTTCTCCCCACGGTCCCGCAAAGCCCCGCTCATTCCGCAGGGTCCCCACCCTACCTTCAGCTCCTCCTCGTCTCCCCCTCATCTTCTCCACTCCAGCCATACTGGTTTCCTTATGCCATTCCCCAGATAGGTCAGGCAGGCATATTTCTGCCTCAGGACCTTTGCATTTACTGTTTCCTCTGCCCACAAATACTAAGGGGGCTTAAACCAATGCCTTCACCTTGACCGCTTGGCTTGAATATGGCAGCCTGCCCCATGGTCCCTCCTGAGGCTCCCCAGCCCCTTACACTACTGTCCTTTTTCTTTTTGCCAAAGCACATTGCACCTTCCATCACACTATTACTTTTTTTTTTTTTTTTTTTTTACCATATTTGCTCTCTCTCTCCCCAAATGGAGATTAGTCCCAGGAAGGCAGGGCTCTGCTAACTAGAGTGTCCTAAACACCTGGAGTAGAGCCTGGCACACAGTAGATGCTCCACAAGTAAAAGCGTATGCAGGCAGATTCTTTGCTGCTCACGTCTAAAGTGAAGTGTCCACGGAAACTAAATGTCCTAGCCACACCTCTTCCTGGAGGCTTTCCAGGAGTTCTCCCTGCAGCGAGGGTCCTGAGCAGAAGCTCCTTCCTCATTCCCCCACCGTGGCATGACCCCCAGAGCCATCAGATGCGGCAGGAGAGAGAGACGCAGGAGGTTGGCATCATCAGTGGAGAGCCATCTGTCTCCCCGTGACATCCAGAGCTCTCGTTGGTCGTTTGCGATACTATGATCTTTGCCTTCCTGTAAGCTCCAGTTCTGGAACGCTACGTCCCTGGGTCATGGTGGATTCCCCCGGGGGGGCTAGACGGCTCGCCCGGGAAGCTGATGGATCCCCTGGCCGGATTCTGTGCCGGGGCCGCGCGGCGGTTAATTTCCTCCACAGGAACGCCCTGACCTTCTCCGTCCTCTCCTCGGCAGGGTCTCCCTTCGCCCGAGCCAGCATTAAAAGTGCCAAGCTGGAGAACTCGACTTTTTTTCACAAAAAGGAGAGGAGGATGCGTTTCTACATCCGCCGCATGGTCAAAACTCAGGCCTTCTACTGGACTGTGCTCAGTCTGGTAGCCCTCAACACTCTGTGTGTCGCTATTGTTCACTACAACCAGCCCGAGTGGCTCTCCGACTTCCTCTGTGAGTACCGCCCGGCCCCGCCCCTGCCCACTCCCGCTCCCTTCCTCACACCCTTTCCCACTTGTGGTGCCGCGTGTTCCTTCCTTAGCCCTTGTTGAATCTGCCCTTTGACGTGGACGTGTTTGCAGCTGCACCTCAATGAGTCTTTGGGCCTGAGGGCTGGAAGCTGGAATTCAGGCCACCAAATACTTCTGTGATACTTTTTTTTAATTTTTTAACGTTTATTTATTCTTTGAGAGAGAGAGAGAGAACGGGCAGGGGAGGGGCAGAGAGAGGGAGACACAGGAATCCCAAGCGGGCTCCAGGCTCCGAGCTGTCAGCGCAGAGCCCACTGCGGGGCTCGAACTCACAAACCGCAAGATCGTGACCTGAGCCGAAGTCGGATATTTAACTGACTGAGCCACCCTGGTGCCCCTGTGATGCTTTTTAAAAGAGAGGCATAAGGGTGCTGGTGAAGGGGGCATTGGAAGAGAGACAGAAAGGGGTAGAGACCACAGGACAGCCAGATGGAGACAGAAA